CGGGGAAAGACAGAAAAAATGAATTCCTAGGAGGACCCAGCAACACAGGGAGACTGGCTGCCTTTAACTAAGTCTGCAGGAAGGAGAGACTTTTTATCCCCTGCAAGTTAATGCAAGCTGTTAGGGAGATAAATAAATGACAGAGCTGCCGATGGACTGTTGGGCTCAAAGCAGGGACATTTGTCTCACTTTAGAAGAAGGACCTGGAGGGCTCAGCCCCATCGACTCGTTCATTGTGCTGTTATCTGCCAGAGAGGTGGTGACACCATTGCAATTAAGACAAACTTTAGTCTGTAAGTTCCTGCTTGCAATCTTGGGGCTTCAAAACAAGACAAATGATCCCGCCAAGGGAGGGAACAAAGTCTTTTCCAGACTGTGTCCAAAGTCACCGCGAATGTTTGTAGTTGTTCAGCAGAAAATTTGTCATTATGAGGCCCGGCTCTGCTGGCTTTCCCGTTTGACATCTTCAATGCCCTCTGTGCCTCATGATAGCCTGGGCCATCTGTGGGGCCTCCCCTGGCCTCCCCAAGTGGCCTCATCCCCTGCCAGTCCCCTTCTCCTGCCAGCCTGCCAGTTAGATGTAACATTTGCCAAGGCAGGGGCTGATAAAGCCAGTGCCACTGTGATTCAGTATTGCCATGGAGGGCATTGTATCCTCTCCCACACCCTAGTAGCCAGGTCCCACCCACAAGGACCAGACTTAGGGTCTGCATCCTAACATGTTGGCTGCTTCTACTTGCCAGGCCTCCCTGATGCCTCCTTCCTGTCTGTGCTCCTTATACATCATCATGGCTATTATCTCCTGCTACTGTGCTGGCCCTGACACTCACCTCCATCTCCCTCCTGCAGGACCCCCACCCCCATCACCAGCAACCCTGCCTTTGGATGGAACTTTCCAGTTGCATAAACTGGAAACTTTGGATCCCCTAAATGTGGACTTGGTCCAGGGTGTGGACTTGGTCTAGGACGAGTCTCAGGGGTCCATTGACACAAAGAATGAAATCAGGACCCCATGTAAGCTGCTGTGAGTTCACAGGGCCCCTGTTCCTATTACTAGGACCTTGGGACAGGGTCTCTGCTCTCTCTTCACACAGTCTCCTTCTCTGATCTTCTTCCCCACTCCAACTCATATGTTAGGGGCTGCACCAAAGCAAAGAAAGGGTTATGGACTCTGGGGTCCAGGGTCCTGTGAGTCCCCAAACTATGAAGAGAATTGTGTGTGTGTAAGGGTGAGTGCAGGTATGTGTGTGGATGGGTGTGTGTAACTGTTTGCAGGTAGATGGGTGCTTGTTATTCTGAGCTGAGGATGTCCACAGGGGATCATGGCTCAGGCCACAAGAAGACTGCCAAGGTGTTGCGGGAGGTCCTTCCGCCCCTCCAACCAATAGCTGCTGTGTTACCAGCCCATTGGGGCGTGGTCTCTCTCCCTTTAAAAAAGCGGCTATTTCCTCTGCTCGCTCTCTTCACTTCCTGCTCCGCTGGAGACTAGACTCCCTTCCTGGTTGTGCAGATGGCTGTTGTCTGGGACGGTGATCTGTAAGTTTTCCCCTTTAAATAAATAACACCCTATTAATCATAACTCCAAACTGGTGTGGCCTTGTTCGTGACTTACGCCTTCATCTGGCGCCCAACGTGGGGCTTTTAGGACCTCCCCCTTTTGTTTAAGCCCTGCCACTTCATGACAAGCAGAAACTGAGGGCCAGAGGGTTGGTGTAAGGCTGGTCTCTGGGTCTGGCTCAGAGGTCCCACCTCTTCCCATGTGCCATGGGAGGCACAGTGCATAGCATTCTTGGTGAGCAAATCCCAAGCTCCACTCCTAAGAGGAAGTGTCCTCTTTGCACTTCAGAGTTTAGGGGCCTTTGTGCTGGAGTGTGGGGTGCATCTGCTGGAGCTTGGATGGAACCCCAGTTAAGAGTGAGTCCCAGACAGTAATAATTTTCTACTTACTTGTTGGAGTCATTCTGCCTCCATGATTTTGCTTCTCCACGCATGAATAGGTGAAAACATGACCCATTGTCTATGGCAGGGATGGTGGAGGAAATTAAGCAGGTGGATAGTAAGTTCAAAGCACACAACCTGGTTTGGAACAGCTACTCTCTCCCCGTCTTCTGAGTTGGCATATAGCTCATTTTGTAGTGTCGGCTTGCCTAGCATCCCTGAGACCCTGGGTTCAATCCTCAGCACTACAGAAAAGTGGATATGGTGGTACATACATGCTTGCATTTCTCCGCATTCTGGATGTGTTCCCAGTGTGGAGGCAGGAGAGCCAGAAGTTCAAGGTCATCTTTAGTACCTAGTGATTTGGAGGCCTATCTGGACTATATGAAGCCCTATGTCAAGCCTCCGCCACCAGCTCTCAACAACAGAATCAGTGACAGCTCCCGTTCACCTCTACTGAACCAGAATTAAGGGACAATGGTTGCTGATACATCTTCAAAGAACAAGGCTGAACCTTAAGTCTGGTAGGTAGCTGGTTCAGGTTTTGGGGTGTTCAGGATCAAGGTGCCCTTCTTACAGTGCTCCTCTTGTCAAGAAAGCCTACCTCATGCACTGTTCACAGATCTTGCCCTTGGCACTGGTGTAGGATGCGCCGTCTTTATGGCCTGGGTCTCATGAAATTCTGACTGCATCAGGCCCTGGGCGACAACAGGAGTTCAATGAGAGGAACAGTGAGGTCTGGGCCAGTGGCAGGCCAGCACTCTGAAGTGTCTCTAAAACCAGACAGATGCTCCCTGGAAGGGCAACGAAGCCTCCCATGAGGTCCCTTCCATGGGGCACTGGACAGAGCGCAAGCTGTGAATGACAGTTCCATCATGGTGGCCATTTGGACAACAAATAAATGTTTATCATGAGCCTCCTCAGCCAAGGCTGTTTTTCTAGGTCTGTGAAGAGCCCCTGGCTGGTGAAGCCTCCATTCGAGTGGAGGACGGAGGACGGGAAGGTGAAAATAAACAATGGGTTTATCACAGTTGCCAATGAGATGGAGGTAACTGGTACAGGCGAGGGAACCCTAGGCCTGCACGGGCATGTGGAGGACAAAAGTGGATGCCAGGTGCCTTCCTTGGTCCCTCCCCACTCTATCTACTGTGTCCGGGAGCGAGAACAGTGGCGGGTGTTTCAGCGGTGTGGGTGGCAGGTCTTCCTGGGAGGCCACCTGAGTGAAGATCTGCAAGGTGAAATGGGTCATGTAGACGATGGTGGGAGAGAGGGCCAGGCATGCCTAACCAAGGTGTTGGCATCACACCGCTAGTAACATGGAAGCCCAAACAGGCGTCTAGCCCCAGCTCATTCAATAGCTCACAGCAGGTGTACCCCCGTGCAGTGAATCTGAGGTTTAGGGTCCCCCCTACTCTTCAACTTCCCACCTCCTTTTGCAGTTGTCTGTTTTCCTTTCTCAGGAGGATGGAGGTGGGTATGATCTGAATCTGAAGTTTCTTGGCCGTCTTTACTTTATTGAGAAGACTTAATCACATGAATCCCTATTAAACTGGGCGTTTCTGGGAGATGTAGTCTTTCCAGTATCCAGCTCCATATAATGGAGGGAGTGTCAACACTTGGTGTTTTCTTGCTTTGGCCCTGAGGTGGCTGCAATAGAAACAGAACTGGAAGTAACAGGACTTGGAGTCAGTGATGTCACAGGGTTAACACAGGCACGGGTGGATCTCTGTTGTCCTCCTTCTCACCTCCCTTATCCATGTGTATGTACCTGTGGTGTGCATACACACATGCTCATTAACATGTATGTGGGCCAATGTGCATGTAGGTGTGCATGCCTGCATGTGCATTTGGAGGTCAGAGGTTGGCATCAGCTGTCTTCTCTGGTAGCAAGTCACTTTATTTACCAAGGCAGGATCTCTTGATGACCTGGAGTCCTCCAGTTAGGCCAGTCTGGCTAGCCAGGGATCCTGTCTCCTGAGGCTGGGATTACAGGCAGCCTGGTTCTGGGGATCCATAGTCTGGTCCTCATGCTGGGAGGCAAACGCTTCATTCACTGAGCTGCCTCACCATTCAGTCCCCCCTCCCCTTTAAGCTATAGTCTTATGTAGCCCAGGCTGATTCTTAACAGAGAATGACCGTGGATTCTTGATCTTCCTGCCTTTATCTCCCGGATGCTGCAGGCATATGCCTGCCCTTTGGCTTGCTCTGAGTGGCTTAGGAAGCTTTGAAAGTCAGGATCAACAATTCCACACAGTGTTCTAACAGGTCCCTAGGTGTCGAGGGGCGGGCTGACTTCAAAGGAGGTGACATTGGAGCCTGGTGGGATGTCACTGTAGTGGTTGGTAAGAGGCATGCTGAGTATGTCCATGAGCCTGGCCTCCGTCCCGGTACTACCAATAGTAGAGAAAAAGCACTCAAACATGGATGGGGAGAGGAAAGGAGGGAGGCAGAGTGGGGAGCTAAGCCTGCTCCCTCTGCACACTTGTTTGTGCATTGGGAAGGCACTGTCACTGAAGTGACCCAGCAGGGCAAAGAGGGCCTGGATGGGGGTTGGAGTTCGTGTTTGGGCGTGTGTGGGTGTCTCTTAGACCAGGTGGCAACTGGCCTCTCAGTGTTTCCCTCATCCTCTGCAAAAGGTGTGCAGCCACACTTCCTCCAGGTGGCTGCAGGATTACCTCAAGTGGCCATGAGTGGCCTGGGTCACAGGCAGTGAGAAAGGCTAGTGGCTGCTGTGGGAAGCGTTGTGAAGGCCTCTGAATTCCTGCCCCTCACTCTGGGTGTCCAGCTTCCTCCTCGGCTGCTCCTGGCCACACCAGTGTTGCTGTTGGTTTGCTGCGGGGCCAATAGCTAGCTCCAGACCAGGAGAGGACTACACCACGATCTGAGCCTTGGGATCAGGACACTTTGCTGTGGGACTTGGTGCATGCAAGTCCTGGTTTCTCATGTGACAACTGAGCTGGTACATGGGCCTCAACACCGAGCTGCAGGAAATGCACAGGATCTTGCAGGTGCCCCTGTCAAATGGGGATGTGTATGACAGACTTGTCAAGACAGACCCGATCCAAAGTAACAATGCTTTTATTCCCATCAGTGCTGCTGTAGGGCCTGACCCTTTACAATGAACAGTAGGGAAACATAAGGGGGTGAGGCCAGAGGAGGTGCCTTTCTTATAACCCATCACCCTCCCCCACACCCTCTGCACTCTCTGCACCTGCCTTATTCATTGTAGTCCCCCTCCCCAGGGAGGAGGGGTTCAGCAGAGGCTGGCTCTCTTGAGGGCTCCCTAGGTAGGGTAGGAGGTGAAAGCAGGAGGCTGGACCCAGTACAGAGGGGTCACGGCTTGTTGTGTCCTTGGTGACTGGTCCTGGGTAGTCAGTATCCTGCTGAGGCCTCATGGGGGTCCCTGCTGGCTCCGCCTCTCCTCTAGGGCTCTGCACACCCACATGGACACCACAGTGGAGTTTCCGTCATTGAACTGCACGATGAACGGGTGACCCTGTGGGGAAGAGCAGGAGATGTGACAGCGGTCCCCAGGCCAGGGGCCTGGTGCTGAGGATGGAGCCCAATTGGCAGAGTCCTTGCCTAGCTTAATGCAAAGCCCTGGGTTGGATCCCCAGCACCATAGAAGCCAGGTGTGCTGGTGTGTGGCTGCAATCTCAGAACCTGAGAGGCAGAGGCAGGAGAATCAGGTGGTCAAGATCATTCACAGCAACTCTGAGCTACTTAAGACCTTGTTATAAAAAGACAGATAGACAACCAGATCAAACAAAAAGACAGCTGGGCATCTCAGTATGCATTCCACGGTGTGTTCTAGCCTGGACCTGATTTCTCTTTTTCAGGAACCCTACATGGTAAAGGAAGGCAGGCTAGAATTGGTGCACGGTCTCAGCAGGTCACAGTGCTTGAAGGCAGCCTGGACGACCTGCTTGATCCCGGGGGCCCACATGGTGTTAGTGGAGAACTGACCCTGCAAAGCTGCCCTCTGATCTACACAGAGGAAGCCAGGAAGCATGAGACGTTCTCTAGGAAGCTCGAAGGTGCAGCTTGTCTTAACGCCGTGCTCTGCCTGGTCCTTTCTCAGCTCAGTTTCACAACGTAGCTACTAGGCCAGGGCCTGGCCCCTGGGTGGCCAGCTTTCCGGTCCAGTTGCTGCCCAGAGAGCAAAGGATCATCTTGTCAGAGGCGGTGTCAGTCCCTGTTAGTCTCCTCCTTTGTCTCCTGCGCCCCTGCACGTGAAGCACAGTCCGCAAACGCAAACGAAGCGCACACCTCGCTCCAGGAGGAGTTGGTGGGCAGGAGGAGTGCTGAAGGGTTTAGGGCAGAGGGCTGGACTTTGGGAGGGGGGAGCTTTGTTTCCACGTGGCCCATCTCCTGGTCTAACCTACTTAAACCCACAGCCAGGCCAGGCTATATTTAGCAGGCATCCTCCCTTCTGTTCTGATACACTAAGACCAACATTCCCAATCTCAGGGTGTTGTCTGGAGCTTCCAGGGAGGGGGGCCAGAAGCGATCAAGGACAAGCCACAGGGCTGTCAGAGTCACAATAGGAACAAGAGACTGGAAAGCGTCATTCCAGTCACCAAGTAGCTTTCTTGACCAAACTTTGTAGCCTGCATGGAAAATGGGCCCTGGGGAGCTACAGTTTGTGAGCAGGGCGATGAGGGATCCCTGACGCTCACCCCAAGCCCCTGCTTCTGTGCCCTCCAGCTGCCTCTTTCCTGCTCCCCCATTTTATCTGAGCCTCTCTCGGACTCTGTCCCTGTTGTCTTACAGGGCTTTAAGCTACGTTCCAGTTTACCTGGCTGTGACTTGTGGCCCTAGGAACGTGCTAAGCATCTCAGTGCCCAGCAATAACTTCAACACATCTTCTGCCCCATGGCTGGGAGGAATGTGGTTCTGCTGTGTCCTGACCCCAGCACCTACCAGGATCCACGGAGAACCGGGTGGAGCATGAGGAAGGGAAGGAGGGCACACTACCCAGGCCTCTCCAGCCTCTTTGGGAGCTTGTATCCAATTGAGGACCCAGGGCTATGCCTAAAGCCTAGCTGGGTGCCATATTATCCCTAATGGCACTGTGGCGGGGGGTTCAGACATGAGTGTGGGACCCCAAGAAAGGGTATTGAAGTTAGGCTGGTGGGAACTGTAGGTGGCACAGGCCTGGGTGGGGTGAGACAAGAGATACTCCATTTTGGGTTCCATATGCTTTCCTGATCACACTTGCCCAGCCCCTGCCTGCTTTCACGACGGCTGCCTAGAGAGAGAACGCTCTTCCTGAACTCCTGTGCACGCTCTTTTCTGGACCTGGGAGGCGACCTTGTGCCCTTCTGAAGAACAAAGACAGAAGCTGTGCTCAGGAGGACGAGCCCCTCCCCCAAAGCCCAGGGTAACACAGAGTCACTTTCCCAGAATGCCTGGTGACTTTGGGGCCATATGCTCCATCACGGGTATCATCTGTCTGCGAACAGGCAGAGTGGAACTGTAGGAGGGGAGTGGAGGCATTCCTCCTCAGCCCAGGAAGGGCTGATGGCTGCGTGGCAGGCATCACTGCACGGGCGCCCTGTGTCTAAGGTCAGAGAGCTGAACCTTTCTTCCCACTGTCTCCGGAGTCCAACCCTTGGATTACACCACACTTTCTCTTTAGATGGGGCGGAAGGCATGGCACCTGCCTGCAGGAAAGCCTGGCCGTAGAGCAGGGGAGTGATGTCATCTGCCTGCTGATGTCAGCATCTCTGGCTCTCAGAGCTACGGGGCCCAGACATGGAGGCCAGGGCAGAGGAACCATCAGAAACAGAGGCTAGCAGCAGCCATAAACCCTGGCACTCCCTCCGAGGAGCTTGTCTGTCTTGCTCTCCCCAAAACACATTCCTGCTGTCCTTGTGGCACACACTCTGCTCGGGGTGTCCTTGCCACCTGAGCACCTGGTCCTAACTCCAGTCTGGCCACCAGCTAGGGCAGGGCAGCAGTAGCCACAGTACACTCCAACGAAGTGGCTCGTGTTAAAGCTCGTGCACCGCTGGGGTGAATCTTGAGCTCACCTGCAGAGCTCACTCTTGCCCACCAGCGACACTAGGAGGAAGAGGACAGCCAGGATCCCGAGTACACGGGTGAGGCTGGCCCTAGGCCTCTTGGTCACTCTCCAAATTAACAGAGTCCAACAAGTTGTTGGAAGCCTGCCAGACAGGACCGCCCAGTAGTTGGGGTGCCTGGAACGGGCTCTTGACTTCCCCTCATGGGGCCTGTGAGGCTCATTGGGAGTCTTTGGGCATCTTCCTGGAGGAGTCCAGCCCTCCCCCCCCCCCCCCCCCCCCCCCCCCCCCCCCCCCCCCCGCATCTCAGCGCTGAGGCCGGACTGTTAGGATCTATACGACCTCAGACGTGTGGAGCCACAGGGTGTGGGGCATGCTGACTTCTAGAGAAGTTTCATTCTGATTCTATTCAGGGATACTTTAATCTGTTTTAACAACTCAACTAATAAAAACAACGCATGCTCAGCCTTGTTCAATTCAAAGTACTACAATGAACAGCCTGCATTATGATGTTGTTCTTTTGCAGGTCTTAGGGGCAAAGGCGGTCAACTTGTTCAGTCTGGGCACCTGCTCCTGCCTTCAGATGTGCGGGCTGTGTGCTGCACTGGCTATCTGTAAACACCGGGAGCCGTGATGTCCCACTCTGACTGTACCTGAGGATAAAATCATGGGAGCACATCACCAGCGCCTAGGCACAAAGCCAGCCAGGTGACACGGTGAGGTGGGGTGGCCAAGGCTGTGCTGACTGTCTCAGGGCATCAGCTCTGAAGCCCTGAGCAGCTCCATCTGCATTCTGTGCTCGCCACAAGAGTTCCCCCTTGGCGCTACTGTCCGTGGCCAAGTCTTGCAATGAAACTTTCCTGCTACTCCTTTAAAATATTAAACATTAATTTTAGTTATGTGCATATGTGTATGTCTGTGTGTGGGTACATGAGCATCATGAGTGCAGATGCCTGTGCAGTCCAGGAGAGGGCGTCTGATGCCCTGGAAGTGGAGTTACAGGTGGCCTATGGTAGGGCCAGGTCTGGCAGCACAGACCTACAAACCCAGCTATTTGGGAGGTTGAGGCAGGAGGATCACAAGTTCACAGCTTATCTGGTTACAGAGTGAGTTCGTGGCCGGCCTGGTTAACGTAGTAAGGTTCTGTCTCAAATAGAAAAGTAGAAAGAGGGCCGAGGATACAGCTCACTGGTAGTGTTTGCCTGGCAAACACATGGTCCTAGGTTAAATAACCAGCAGCACACACGTACACACCCATGCTGCACCAACACACATGCCCGCACACACCTCTGCCTTTTATATGAGCGGGAAATGCTCTCTTCTTCCCCTCCCTCCCTCCCTCCCTCCCTCGTGTGCGTCCCTTCCTCCTTTCTTCTTGTAGCACAGCTGAAATTATCTAAAATTCAGGTTAAGAGGGCCAGTAACATCTCTTGCCCCACAAGCACGAGGGCTAATGTGTTCCCCAGAAACAATGTAAAAAGGCCAGACATAGTGGGGCCTTAAACCAGAGCAGACAGGGTGGGTGTGGGTGGGTGGGGCAGAGACAAACTTCAGGCCAGTGAGAGGCTCTGGACGGCTCCTAAGGATGACACCTGCAGGTGTTCCCTGGGCTCTACGTGCCACATCTGCACACACTGCAACATGGACACACACAGACACACACACTTACAAACACAATTCAAATTAAAGACAGGTGCAAACACTGAGTATTGTTATGCATTTAGTGCTTCTCAAGTTTTGCTAAGTTAAGCTAAAAATGTAGGTGATCACTTAGATACTAGAATTAGGATGTAACTTCTTCCTTCCTTTTTTGAGAAAGAGTTTTTCTCTGAAGTCCTGGAACTCGCTCTGTAGACCAGGTTGGCCTCAACTCAAATCTGCCTGTCTCTGCTTCCCGAGTGCTTGAATTAAAGTCGTGTGCCACCACTGTCTGGCCAGAATGTAATTTCTACACCAATGGATAGATCACGTACTCGGCAGGCAAGGCAGTTATGCCTATGTTTTGTAAATGTGACCTGTCTGTGAGGTCAGGTGTGGTTTCCCACCATGGCATCACACCTGTGCTCAAGACCTTTTGAGCTTTGGAGAATTTCTGGCTTTTGGAACATGTACTTAAAATTGAATGGCGTGGGCTGGGATCAGCGGGTAAGCATTTGCCTAGTATGTGCAAGGCCCTCCAGCATGGGCCAAACCAAACCAAGCAGGGCCCAGCCCAACTGCACTTAACATGGATGACGATGAGCAGCCAGAGGTGGAACTTGGTGGTATGGCATTCCCAGCATGCTTGAGGTCCTGGGTTACAACCCTATTATTATGACATCCCCAGCACCCCTCAAGAGACGCCAACAGCTGACTGACAATGACAGTACTTCACATAGATGTTTGTGTGATACAGCTAAAACAATACTTGGGTGCTCAATAGATTATGAAAGATTGGAAAGGAAATCCTGGGAAAGGAGATAACGATGAA